GGTGCGCTGGGGGGGGGCTGTGCCTGCCCGCGAGGGCGGGGCTGGGGCTTCCGTGGGGGGCTCGGCGTCTTTGGCCTCTGAGGAGGCCGTGCGTGAGGGGCCTGTGCCTGCCCGCGAGGGCGAGGCTGGGGCCCCTGTCGGGGGTGCCGCGGGCTCTGGGGAGCCCGCGGTGGCGGAGAGGTGTCACGCGCCTGGGGGACACGACGTCACCGCCACGGGTACGGTCGTCTGGTGTCGGCGGTGCGGGGCCTACGGGTCCGTCAGGGTGGGGAAGGCCTTCAGCTCCCCCTGTCCTGACCCCAAAGACTTGCCCAAGAGCAGGAGGTCAGTCCTCAGTGCTCTCTTGAGAGGCAAGCACCCCAAGACTGGGAAGTCCCTCACTGGGTGACTGACGGCTTGGGGGTTTACATTTCCCTCTTGGAGTGGTGTCTGTGAGCAGACGCTTTCTCTTCAGTGCTTCCCTGCTTCCCTCCTCCTCCTCCTCCTCCTCCTCCTCCTCCTCCTCCTCCTCCTCCCATTGTTCCTCCTCCTCCAGCCTTTCTTCCCTTGTGCACCTCCTCCCCCGCCCCCCTTTGCACGGGCGCGCATGTCGATGTTCCTCGGCGTCGTCGCCGCCGCGGCCGGCAGGGGCGAGTCGCCCGATGACCAGATCGCGAGGCGGCCGTTGGGGCAGCCCTGCGGGCCAGGTCACTGACTCGATTCCCGCGGGCCGCTGGCGCGCCAGATTCAGCGGTCGGGACAACCCTGGAGCCCCCAAAAAACGACGGTCTCCAGGTTTGGATAGCCCGCTCGGATTATGAACGTGATCTGGCGGCCCAATAGGGCGGGGGCTCCCGCCTGAGCCGTCCTCACAACTCACTCACAGACGAAGCTCCCGCCCGAGACTTCCCCAGACCCAGGCCTCGGGAGCCCAAGGCTGGCGACACTTACAAGGCTTGGATGACCTGCTCGGATTACTAACATGTTCTGGCGGCCACTCGGGGAGGAGGCTCCCGCCTGAGACTCCCTCCTTCCTCACAGTATTCACTCACAGACGAGGCTCCCGCTGTAGACTTCTCCTCCAGATCCACGCCTCAAAACCTCAAACCTGACGACAGGTACAAGATCTTGATGACCAGCCCCGATTGCTAACGTGATCTGGCGGCCCGAGAAGGATGGGACTCCCGCCTAAGACGTCCTCGCGACTCGCTCACAGACGAGGCTCCCGCTCGAGGCATCATACAGATCCACGCCTCGGGAGCCCTCGGGTGAGCAAAGGTACAATCTTTGGATGGATTGCCCGCTCGGCATACTACCATGCTCTGGCGGCCCCAGAAGGACGGGGCTCCCGCCCTCCCGCCCCAGACTTCCTGACAAGTCACTCACACGCGAGGCTCCCGCTCGAGACCTCCTCCAGATTCATGCCTCGGGAGCCCCAAAGCGACGAAAGCTACAAGATCGGGAGGACCCGCCCGGCCTACTAACATTAGGTCGGGCCTGTCCCCATACAGGGAGATGTTGGATGAAAAATTAAACATACCCCCAACATAAGCCCAACTTTCAGAAAACAAATTGTCCCCAAACGAATCAGCCCAACTTTTCGGCACTTTCTGAATGTTCCTCCTGTAGAGGAACAGGCCCGACTTGACACTACCATGATCCAACGGCCCCATACGACGGGGGGCTCCCGCCTGGGAGTTACTCGCAATATTCCCTCACACGCGGGGCTCCCGCCCGACACGTCCTGCAGATCCACGCCTCGGGAGCCCAACATGGAGGGCGATTGCAAGCTCTGGACGACCCGCTCGGATTACTAACATGATCTGGCGCCCCCGTAGGGAGGGGGCTCCCGCCTGATACTTCATCAAGTTTCACTCACAGACGAGGCTCCCGCTCGAGAGTTCCTGCAGTCACGCCTCGGGAGCCTCGTATACGACAGCTCGAACAGGTGGATGGCCCACTCGGATTACTCATATGATCTGGCGGACCCATGAGGAAGGGGCCCCCGCCTGAGACTCACAATTCACTCACGAACCAGGCTCCCGCTCGAGACTTCCTCTAGATCCACCCATCAGGAGCCCCAAATTGAAGGGAATTATAAAACTTGGATGTCCCGCTGGGTTACTGACATGATTTTCCGGCCCCATACGGATGGAGCTTCTGCCTGGGACTCCCTCACAATATCTACGGTCGGACCTAGGACAGAAGAACATCCCTCAAGAACTTGAGACCTTCCGCCAGCCCAACCACACAGAACATCCAAGGGTACCCTCCCCAGGATGCACAAGAGCATCCAACAAACACGAAAAACACTAGGGTACCCTCCCCGAACCGACCTCGATCTTATACCTTGGTCCGGCTGTATTCAAAGACGAGGCTCCCGCTCGATACGTCCTTCAGATCCACGCCTCTGGAGCCCGAACGTGGCGACAATAGCAGGATTTGGATGCCCCACTCGGGTTGCTAAAATGACCTGCGGCCCCATAGGGAGGGGGCTCCCGCCTGAGACTTCCCTACGATTTACTCACAGGCGAGGCTCTCGCTGGAGACTTCCTCAAATTGAACGTGTGAGTGTGTGGGAATGAATGAGCATGTCAATGACTCCGTGGGTACGTGTGACATGATGATGTTGATGATGATGCTGCTGATGATGGTGGTGGTGGCGGTGGTGGTGTGAGTGTGTACGAGTGAGCGCGTGTGACAATGATGCTTATGATGATGATGCTGTTGGTGATGATGGTAATGATGCTGATGTTCATGGTGAGATGGTGAATGATCGATGGTGGTCAATGTGAGTGCGATTGTGGATATGATGATGACAATGGTGATGATGCTGACGATGGTGATGATGATGCTGATGATTCTGATGATGGTGATGATGATGATGATGATGATGATGATGATGATGATGTGTTCTTGTTGATGCTGATGGTGTGATGGTGATGAGGAGCAGCGGGGGTGTAGGGGGTGAGGTCTGCGAGGGGTGCCCAGAAAACCAAGAACTCCATTTGGGGTGTGGGGAACGAAGCCCGACATAGGATGGGGGGAGGAAAACTTGAGGAAGAGGAGGAGAGGGATGCAGAGGAGGAGGAGACGACGGCAACGAAGACAACGGCGAGGCGCGCCCAGCCGAGAATGGGAGGCTGACGGGGGAAGAGTGGGACAAGCCAGGTGCGCCCTCGTGATGTTCGACATCCTACCCATCCTGCATACACGTCGTTCATTTCTAATCGTGCTCATTTCTAATCGTGCTCCTTTCAAATTGTTCCTGGCCCCTAGTGGCCATAACATTAGACATGAAAGGATCTGGGCCCCCCAAAAAAGTCAATGCAATTTCGAAGAATTAGAAAAGAACAAAATGTACGCATCTTCCCCCATTGCGCTGATAACTACTTGATGGCGTGCCGCCGACGGGCTCCAGAGGATGTTAAAGCCACAAAAAAAACGCACAACAAAAGGAAGGGGAGCCCGAGAACGCCCCGTGCCGTCAGCCGTTTCGCCTGGGACCTCCTCGCAAGGATTCAGGAATCGCGCTCTCGCCTCAAGTCGGCGATGAGCGAGGGGGGAAGTGAGAAGGAGAGAAGCCCTCTCAGAAGGCGGTGGGGCTTCTCAGAAGCCCTCCGGCCTTCCTAAAGGTTGTCTGTGTCTTCGGGGCAGGCTCAGAACCTTTCTCTCAGAAGGCCGGGGGACTCCCGAGCCTTCCGAGAACGACCGCCCCTTTTCGCTTCCCCCCCTGGCTGGCCGCCGATCAATACCAGCTACATGTTTGGTCCACACGGCCACGACGGCCACGCTTTTTTAATATATATATATATATATATATATATATACATGTAAAAGGCGCACATGGACTAGCTCGCACCCTGCCACACGCCCGAGATCTCCAGCAACACATACAAGAAGGTGCACATGCCCGTGCTCCCGCCCCTGTCACACGGCCACGACCCTTAGCACGAGAGATGCCTCGAGGCACACGGCCGCGCACTCGGCCCCGTCACACGGCCACGGCCCCCGGGAGAACGGACGCTGCGGTGCACGCGGCCGTGCACTCACCCATGCCACGCCCAGGAATCCATATACATGCCTCGGAACGCACATCTTCACGAGCCGACATCCTACCTTTAAGTCGGGCGTGTCCCCCTGCAGGGGGATTTTCGACGACAAATACAACATAGCCCAGAAAAATGATCCAAAATGATCAATAAATAATCGAAAAATAGTCCCCAGACTATTGTTTGACTATAAAAAAAATCCCCTGTAGAGGGACAGGCCCGACTTAATCCTACCTCTAGACCCGCCTCACCTCTGCTGCTATCAAGGTGCACTTGCTGGGGCCATTCCTCGATCCGACGGCGCGTGCCACAGCGCACCTGAGCTCCAAAACGGATCCAAACCGTGCGATGGACACTCGGAGCAGGAGGGCTGCACACATTGGAGGAGGAGGTGGCGGATGAGCAGGGGGATGCGCAGGAGGAAGAAGGGGGGCGATGAAGAAGGCGGAGGACGAGGAGGCACAACAGCAGCAGGAAATGGAGCGGAAGGTGCGAGAGGAGCAGGAAGACCAGGGGAAAGCGGAGGAGAGGCAAAAGGGGGGGGGCGACAGCGACGAGGAAGGACTCGGGTACACAGAAGTGGTCCGCGCTGGGGCGAAGGAGCCACTCTGGACGACGGGAGCAAGCCGCCGACGCGAAAATTAAGCCCACGCTGCAGCGGGAACGTCACTTTGACGCACCGAGAACGTTCCCATGGGGAAAATTAATAAGAGATACGAAATACTTACTTACACACTGCGTAAAAGAAACAATACGCTGAGAGGGCGGGGCATGTTCTGAATGGAGCCAGGGGAGAAGGAAGAGTAGCACTCACATCGAGCAACAATCGAGGCAGAAGAGGAAGTAAGGTGAAACGGACTGGAAGACAAGAATCGGGAGGAGAAGGACACGGAAAGCGGCGACATGGCGGGGCCGGGGGGCACTAACGCTGCCGCTCCAAGGGGCCCGCGCTCCCCCCCAAGGCGGGTCCTGGAGGGCAGACGGCTGCGCCACGAAGTTCCTGATGGCCTGGGACAAGTCGGCGATGGAGCGCTGCAGGCCCCCGATGGACGGGTCGGCGCCGGCGCCCGCATGCGGTAGTATGCCGGGCGGGGGCGGGAAGCCGCGCTGCTCCGCGCCGGCATGGAGCCGGCGGGAGCACTCGCGCTGGCGCGCGAACAGCTCCATCGCGGCCAGGTCCCCGGCGCCAGGGTACTGCAGGTGCACCTGCTCGAGGAAGGGAGGGGGGAGAGGGGGAGGAGGTAGGAAGAGGGGGAAAAGAGAAGGAGGAGGAGGATGAGGAGGAGGAGGATCGCCTGCTCGGGCGAGGCCAACCACATCGGCTCAGGCCCAGGTCCTGTGAGGGGAAAGAGTGGGAGAAGGGGAGAAAAGAAAAGGGGGCGACGAACAGAGTCGGAAGGGCATGGGCGACGACGACAAAACTACGAGTGCTGCAACGTATACTACAACTACAACGATAAATACCACAGCGATTACTACGATACCAACGACGCGTATCACTACAAAGAGTAAACGAATATTCGTACGACTACTACTGGTTTTGTTAAGCAGCTGCTACTACTGCTACTACTACTACTACTACTATTACTACTACTACTACTACTACTACTACCAGTACTACTACCTACTACTACTACTACTACTACTACTACTACTACTACTACTACTACTACTACTGCTGCTGCTGCTGCTGCTGCTACTACTACTGCTACTACTACTACTACGACTACTACTACTACTACTACTACTACTACTACTACTACTACTACTACTACTACTACTACTACTACTACTACTACTACTACTACTACTACTACTACTACTACTACTACTTCTACTACTACTACTACTACTACTACTACTACTACTACTACCGCTACTACTCCCGGTACTACGACTACTGCTATTACTACTACTACTACTACTACTACTGCTACAACGACTACTACTACTACTACTACTACTATTACTACTACTACTACTACTACTACTACTACTACTACTACTACGACTAATGGGAATACGACGACAACTACGGCTACTACGACGACTACTACTACTACTGCTACTACTACGACTACTACTACTATTACTACTACTACTACTACTAGTACGATTACAATTACTCGTACTAATAGTGCGTCTACTACTACTTCTACTACTTCTACTACGACTTCTACTACGACTACTACTACTACTACTACTACTACTACTACTATTACTACTACTACTACTACTACTACGACAACTGCTGCTACTGCTCATGCTACTGCTGCTGCTGCTACTGCTACTGCTACTGCTACTGCTGCTACTACTACTACTACTACTACTACGACGACTACTACTACTACTACTACGACTACTGCCATTACAACAACTACTACTACTACTACTACTACCACTACTACTACTACTTCTACTTCTACTCCTCCTACTACTACTACTACTACCACTACTACGACTACTACTACTACTACCACTACTACTACTACTACTACTACTCCTACTGCTACAACTACTACAACTACTACGGCTACGACTACGACGACAACACAACTACTTCTAGGACGGCTACTACTGCACTACTACTGTCGCTAGAACCACTACTACTACTACTACCCCCTCTATAACTACCGCTGCTACTGCTACTCCTACTACGACTACTACTATTACTACTACTACTACTACTGCTACTACTACTATTACTACTACTACTACTACTACGACTACTACTACTACTACTACCACTACTACTGCGACTACTAGTAATTCTCATACGATTACCACTATCACTGCTGCTACTACACTGCGACTGCAACTACTACAGCTACTACACTACTGTTGCTACGATTGCTACTTCTACGACTACGACTACCTCTACTACTACGACTCTCACGACTATGGCTACTACTACCACTACTACTACTACTACTACTACTACTGCTACTACTACTACTACTACGACTACTGCTACGACTACTGCGACTATTACTACTACAGCTGCTACTATTGCACTATTGCTACTACTACTACTACTACTACTACTACTACTACTACTACTACTACTGCGGCTTTTACTACGACTGCTACTGCTACGACTGCTACTACTACTACTTCTACTACTACTACTACTACTACTACTACTACTACTACTACTACTACTACTACTACTACTACTACTACTACTACTACTACTACTACTACTACTACTACTACTACTACTACTATTGTACGACTACTACTACGACGACGACGACGACGACTACTACTACCGCTACGCCTGCTACGACTAGTACTACGACTACACTACTACACTGCTACCTCTACTATTACTTCTACTACTACTACTACTACTACTACTACTGAAGACAACGACTACGACTACGATTGCGACCGCAACTACTTCTAGGACCACTACTTCTAAACTAAACTTGTCGCGACTACCACTAATACACTACACTACAACTGCGACAGCTACGAGGATTACTACTACGACGGCTACTACGACTACTACGACTACTACTACTACTACTACTACTACTACTACTACTACGGCGACTACTACTACTACTACTACTACTACTGCTACTACTGCTGCTGCTACAACTACTACAGCGACTAGCACGAGTACCACGTTTTTACCACTACTACGACTACTACGCCTACAACTACTACGGCTACCAACACTACGGCTACTACGGCTACGAGGAGTACTACTACTTCTACTTCTACTCCCACTTCTACTTCTACTACTACTACTACTACTACTACTACTACTGCTACTACTACTACTACTACTACTACTACTACTACTACTCCTACTGCTACTGCTGCTGCCGCTGCTGCTGCTACTATTGGTGCGACAACTACGAGTACAACGGCCACTGCTACTACTACCGCTACTGCGACGACGATGATGAAGACGATGGCTGCGACTACGACTACGGCCGCAACTGCTACGAGGACGACTACCACTGCAATACTACTGTCACTAATACCACCGCTACTACTAGGGCTCCCACTGCTACTACGAAGACTACTACGACTACTACTACTGACACGACTACTACTACTACTACTACTACTACTACTACTACTACTACTACTACTACGACTATTACTACGACTACGCCTCTTACTACTAATGCTACACTAGTAATATCACTGCTACCACTACTCCTAGTACTACCACAGCGAGTTTTACTACTAATACTACGACTACTACTACTACTACTACTACTACTACTACCACTACGACTACTACTACTACTACGACGACGACGACTACTACTACTACTACTACTACTACTACGACTACCACTGCTACTTCTACGGCTACTACGACTACTGCTACTACTAGCGCTACTTGTTCTACTGCTACTACGAAGGCTGCTACTACTACTACTACTACTACTACTACTACTACTACTACTACTACTACTACTACTACAACTACTACTAGTACACTACTACTACTACTGCTACTACTACTACTACTACTACTACTACTCTACTACTACTACGACTACTGCTACTACTACTACTACCACTACAACGACTACTACTACTATGACTACAACTACGACGGGCACGACCAGTACGAGTCCGACTACTACTACTACTACTACTACTACTACTACTGCTACTACTACTACTACTACTACTACTACTACTATTGCTACTGCTACTGCTACTACTACTACTACTACGACTACTACTACTACTATGACTACTATGACTACTACTACTACTACTACGACTACCATCACCACTACTACTACGACTACGACTACGACTACGACTACTACCACTACTGCTACTACTACTAAGATTACTACTGCGACTACTTCTTCTACGAGTACTTCTACGACTACGATCCATGTTAACACTACGACTATTGTTATTGAGCGGTCGGGCTGGCGCTCTGTGGATCTTCCGAGGTCCCACGTTCAGATGGTTTACACGCTGGTCTTTCTCGCTGGTAATATGTCATCGTGCGTTTCCTGTCAGCATTGCTGGCCGTGGATAAGGGGAAAGGAGAGAAAGAGATGAAGAAGGAGAGTAACCGAGTGCTTTTTTCATCGATTCATCCCTCTGTCACCTCCTCAACATGAATCCACCGCATCCTCCTTCATCCGTCTTCCTCCTTCCTCGCCCCCTTGCACAAGGAGACATTGACAATAGCTCTCTACACAAATAATCAATACTAAAAGGACCTTACTCACGACATCCATACCAAAACAACCCGCAATCCATAATCAGTACTCAAAAGATCCTCATCTAATCCTGAATACGGGGTCCTTTTCGAAAGGGGTCCTCGGTAAAGGGATCCTTGCGAAAGGCACCCTTACTAAATAAAGCCCTTTGCAAACGACGCCTTACTAAAAAAAGAAGTAGCACCTCAATCATTGCGAAACGCATCTTTCATGAATTGGGTCATGGACCCTTGCGAAAAAGCACGTGCTAAAGGAGCCCTTAATAGCTGGATCCTTCAATACAAATCTTTAGAAAAGATGGAAGAACACCCTGCACTAAGGACTCCTTGCCTGCATAGCCCTTGAAATTAGAAAGACTTGCTGGACAATGCCTTGATCACGGAATCATTCCTAAAGGACGTCTTCCGACAAGGCTCCGCGCACAAGAACTATATACTACACGAGGCCTTCCTAAAGGAATGCTCAATTTACGCTAGCTCAGGGAATCCTTGCTCAAGGAACCCGGACCAAAAGAAATGAAACAAAAACAACCATACTGAGGATCGGACAGCATCCTTACCAAGAACGCAACCCTCACAGCAAACAATCCTCCTTAATTAACACGTCATTTCCAGGGATTCTTTAGTAAAGAAATCCTTGCTAATGAAATCTCTTCGGTGGCAGTTCATGGGAGCCTCCCATACCACCTTGTCGGCTCTTGCATATCGACGCTAGTCGACGCCGAATCGACGCTCATCGACGCAAAATCAATGCTACTCGACGCTAAATCGGCGCTACCTCATCGACACCTAGACGCTAACCGACGCTATCCTTAGCCCAAGATCCCTTGCGAGTGGGTGAAAATGCTGGCGAAGATGCTGACGTAGACGTTCATTGGTCGAGGGGATCTGGATTCGAGTACATAGGGGGTCGACTACATAAGCGGCTTACCCTAGAGTTGATGTGGCCGTCGGATCGACGGGCAGATACGTATAATATTCGCATGATGTTCCATGTTGCTTCGTGGACTCGGCGAAAAAATAAAACTCGGGGTACATCCACTCCACTGAGATCCGACGTAGCGAAACATTACCACACCGTAAAAAACCACGCCCAGAGCCCTGGACACCATCTTCCTGCGCCATGTCTCGAACCGCATCGATCTGCGAAGGCCCCCAAGGCCCGACAAAAATGCGAAAACGCCCGGCTCGAAAATATCTGGACGCCAGGATCTCAAAGTCTGTAATCACAGACCCCCGACGTGATATTTTTTTTAACGTCGACTCTCAGGAGTCTCGACCACTTCCCCAGGACCGGTTTCTCATCCCGTTGTTGACGGTCCCGGAGCCCGGCAAGGGACCCCCGAGGCCGAAACTGGCGAAACACCTCCCGTCGCAATTTTTCCGCAACGCCAGGACCTCAGGGTCTGTATTGAGGCCGCCCAGTGGGGCAGTGGGGTCCGAGAAGATGGGGTCGGAGGATCGCGCCGCATCGCCAATGCATCACCGATGCATCGGCGACGTCGGCGATGCATCGGCGACGTCGGCATGGGGAAACACGGGCTCCACATCGAGCCGCATCGGCGATGCATCGGCGATGCGGCGCGATCCTCCGACCCCATCAGCTCGGACCCCACCTGGAAGGCCTAGATCCCTAGAGCCCCGACGTCATCATTTTTCAGAACGTCGACTCGCGCGCTGTGCTGTCCTCCGCCTGGCATCGCGCCGCTCGTTAAAAGAAGATTCATGGCACGTTTTGGGCACCCTGGAGGTCTGGACCCATTCCCCGGGACCGGCTTCTCATCCTGAAACGTTTCTGGACGCTCCGGGGCCTGGGAAGGGGCCTCCCGAAACCGAAAATCGCAACAGAAAAACTCCCGCCGTGATTTGTTTCACAATGCAAGGGGGACCTGGGTCCCAAAATCTCGAGCATCGAACCATGAAGGCGCCCTATCCGCCTCCTCGTCGTTTCCTCCTCCTCCTCCTCCTCCTCCTCCTCCTCCTCCTCCTCCTCCTCCTCCTCCTCCTCCTCCTCCCCCCCTGCACTGCACTGGAACGTCGCTCTCCTACTCCGTGGGTCGTGGTCCTGCCGCGCCGGGCCTCGTGGGCCCGACTGCCGCGGGCTGCGCCGCGCCGCCACGGCGGCGCTGGCCGGGCGGCCCGGGGCAACCCTCGCCGCCAGGGCGCGGCGCGGGCGCCTCGCTGGCTTGCGGGGGGCGCGGCGGGGGGGAGGCGCCGCGGAGCGCCGCGGAACGCCACGCAGCGGCGAGGAGGTGGCGAAAGGGAGGGAGGAAGAAGGCCGGGGAGGAGGAGGAGGAGGAGGAGGAGGAGGAGGAGGAGGAGGAGGAGGAGGAGGAGGAGGAGGAGGAGGAGGAGGAGGAGGAGGAGGAGGAGGAGGAGGAGGAGGAGGAGGAGGAGGAGGAGGAGGAGGAGGAGGAGGAGGAGGAGGAGGAGGAGGAGGAGGAGGAGGAGGGGGGGACTGACTGAATGACTGACACACGGCTGTTGAACAATGATGTACTGAAGGGCTCTCTCATTTCATTCAGGTACACATGCTCACGTTATGCTACGGTACGCGTGCTGACGTGCGCGGAAAGAAGGCACGAGCGCAGGGACCGAGGCGAAGCTTGCCGACGAGGGGGCCGAACGAGGCCCGACAGCGCCGCCGACGAGGGCCGAGGGCCACGAGCGAAAGGCGAGAGAGGGGCGGAAATGGAGCGAGACGGGCCATACAAAGTCAGCAACAAAAATAATCACATGTTCGCCGTCCCCACCCTGGGGTTTTCGGTTGCGGGCGGTGGTGCTTCTCGCCCGCACGACCCGCAGCGCTGTCGAGCGCTTGGCAAGCAGGCGGGCGGTGGCATCGACGGCCCTTCGAGCGGAGACAGCAGGGTGCGGCCCCTGCGCCGAGCGCTTCGCGCAGGGCGGCCCCATGAACTGCGAGCCCCCCTCGTCGGGTGTTCCCACAGGAGTGGAGGAGGTGGAGGAGGAGGAACATCAAAAAATGCTCAAACTATGCCCCCTAAATACTTGAAAAAATAGTCTCCAGACTATTGCTTTGACCATTTTTGAATATTCCCCCTGTAGAGGGACAGGCCCGACTTAACCCTATAGGCGGGCTTCTGGACGACAAAAATAAAAATAGCCAAGCAGGATTCCAGATGGGCAGAGGATGATCACAGACTGGTCTCCGCAATCATCATGCTCTTCCAGTTGTTTACGTTCCCCCTGCAGAGGGACGCCCCCGACTTAAACATCGCTCGCCCCGGGCGGCCGCCCGCCCGAGGCCTGAGGAGGCGACGCGGCAGCAGCACACGGCGCCGAAGGGCGACGCCGACGACGCGCAGGTCGGGCACGTTCCCCGTGCAGGCGGGTTGTTGGACGAAAAAATAGAAATAACCAAAAGGTAATCCAAATGGGCAAAAAGATACGGTGGAGGTTTTAGATAAGGCTGCCTGGGCCACCCACCTCGCCTTGAAACAAGAAGGAATGCGCCAGGGTCTGGGCCCTAGGAAGACGTTCCTTATCCAAGGCCGCCGCCGTAATCAAAACATCGTCGCCACACTATGTTTCCCCAATCAGAGCTTGCCTCTGTAGGGGTCCTAGCGGATTCATATGGTTAGGTTAGCGTGGCCACCGATTTTCGCTGCACGCCCGGGTGCCCGGGGGGTGCCCCCGGGGTTCCCGAGTGCCCGGATGCCCGGGCGTGCAGCCAAAAAGCCCTATAGCACAATAGCCCTATAGCCCCGTAGCCTATACGCAATATCATTAAAAAAAGACTCTGATAGAAGCTTTTCTCCAGCATCGTCTTACAATTGTTGGGTACTTCTCCTGCAGAGATAGCCCTATTTAGCCGATTGCAGTATCAAAAAAGACTCGGATGGGGCTTTCCCCAACATCATCTCACAATGTGTGGCACTTCTCCTGCAGAGGTACACTATCTTCTCGTCAAGCAATGCTGTAATAAAAAAAAACGCCTCCACACTATTTTCCTTACAATGTTGTGGTAATTACTCCTCCTGCAGAGGCGCAGGCCCCCCTGCAGGAGCGACCCCCCGGGGGGGCCGCCCGCGGCCCCCAGGGAGGCGACCCGGCAGCAGCAGCACGGCGCCGACGGAGTCGACGCCGACGACGCTCGGGTCGGGCCCGTCCTCCTCCTCCTCCTCCTCCTCCTCCTCCTCCTCCTCCTCCTCCCTCCCTCCGCCTCCTCCTCCTCCTCCTTCCTCCTCCTCCTCCTCCTCCTCCTCCTCCTCCTCCTCCTCCCTCCGCCCCCTCCGCAGGCGGGTTTTTGGGACGCAGAATCAAACATATAAGACGCAAAAAAGAAGGAAAGAAAAGCCCCAATCAGTGGACGGTTCGAAATGGGATCGAGAAAGAGATCGAGAAGGAGATCGACCGGGACCCCAGGAACCCGGGAGCACACCGAAACCGGCCCGGAACCAATGAGCAGGAACCGGGAACCCAGAACCGAGAACCGGGAACTCAGCCGGCCATCGAAATCGGCGGGACGTCTTCTCCAAATCTTCCAATTTCCGCTCGGACCCCTTAAGTGCAAGCACTGACTGGGAATAAAAAAGGTAGAAAAATCGTCTCCTGACTATTTTTTCTTTAATATTATGGAATCTTCCTCCTGTAGAGGGGCATGCCCGACTGAAGACGACGCGGCGCACGCAGCGCCGCAGGGCACCGAGGGCATGGCGGCGAGGACGACGACACAGACGTGCTCCCCAGACCTCCTCGCGTCGCGAACAGAATCACGGCGGGAGGTGCTTCCTCATCTTCGGCCTCCAGCCAGGGGCCCCTCCCAGGCCTTGGGAGCGTCAGAAAGCGATTCCAGATGAAAGAACGATCCCGGGGAACGGGTCCAGCCCTCGGAGGGTCGGCGCTGTGCAGCGATCACGACGTCGGGGGTCTGGGACAGACGTGCAGGCGCCGTGGCCGAGCTCATGACGGGAGGTCCTGCGCCATGTTGTCGGCCTCTGGGGGCCCTCGCCAGGCCCTGGGGCTGTCAAGAAACGACAGGAGATGAAAGCCCGGCCCAGGGGTAAGGATCGCGGCTTCCGGAGGCCCCGCGTTGAAACAAGTCGAAGCGTCGGGTGTCTGGGGAAGGGCGACGCCACCGACGCCGACGGCAGGGACGAGGGCGACGACGGCGACGACGATGCTGATGTCCTAACGGGCGGGGGTCATGGTCGTCGAGGTCGACGTGATCGTCCGTTGTTGTCGTCGTCGCCGTGGCCATCGCCGTCATCGCTGTCATCTTAGCCAGAGGCGTCGTCATCGTCGCCGTCGTGGCCTTCTGGGGGTGTGGAGGCGGATGACGAGGGCGGAGGAGGGGTGAGGGGGCAGGAGGGAGGAGGAGAAGGAAGTGGAAGAGGGGGATTGGGGAGGAGGGCGCCTGGGGGAGGAAGAGGGAGGTGGGAGGAGGGCCGCGGCCTCGAAAGATCCCGTGCCCGATGAGCCAGCACACGATCCGGTGAACGAAGACGGCGTGGCGGACGTGGCGCAAGACCCGGCACGCGCGGAGGAAGCGGCAACCTGGCGGGGGCGACGGGGGAAGTCAGGCAAGGCAGGGCGCCGAAGATCGCCCCCGGGGGGGGGGGGACCTCTACATAACAGAGCTCGGGGGAAAGCGCCGGGTCGGCGGGAAGCTCAGATGCCGTAGTATATCCGAATCCAGGTTTTGAGCCATTGAAGGATGAAGAGGAGGAGGAGGAGGAGGAGGAGGAGAAGCAGGAGGAGGAGGAGGAGGAGGAGGAGGAGAAGCAGGAGGAGGAGGAGGAGAAGGAGGAGTGAATCCGCCCGCGGGAATCGATTCTGCGACGGGCCCACGCCGACGGCTCACAGGACCTGAGCGAGGGAGTAGCCCACCTGACTTTTCACAAGCAAAACAACGCGAATGCGCTGAGGAGGAAACTTGCCAGCATCCCCGCTGAGCTCACCCGTGCTGCCCTGTCCTCTGGCGACTCGCCCCTCTGGGCCTCGACGTCGGGCGGCTCGCTCTCCTTGGCCGCTGCCGCTCCTCCCGTCCCCCGCCCCTGCCAGCTGTTGCCGCTCGCTTCTCCTGGATGGGCGACCCTCCGAGGGTCATTCGTGGCCCCCCTCCTGGCAATGGGAGCAAACTTGCGTTCCGCGGGGTGCTCGGCGGACTGGGACCCCAACGCTAGCTGGGGATCACGATTCCACCGCGGCGGCCTGGGACATGCTAAAATAGCAGTTGCGCAGTGGATGCCTCTATCGGCTACACGCAAAGAGTGACCCTGGGTAAGAGTGGCCTTCGGTGCGCAGCTTCTGGGGGGCCACGGGGTGACCAAGCCTGGACGCGGACTCTGTGTCCCTCAATAATTCTGGGTCCCCGGACTATAGTGGTACCCTCTGGACTACAGGTACCCCATCCGTACACACCCCCGGACTACAGGAGACTACAGGTACCCCCCCCGGACTACAGGTACCCCTCTCCGGACTACAGGTACCCACCCCGGACTACAGGTACCCCCGTTAGTTGCTACAAATCCTCTCCAAAGATACAGGACCCCGTCAATTCGCTATCCCCTGGAAGCCACGCGCAGTCCCGCGCGCGCAGGCACCCGCGCGCCGAAACCCGTGCGCGTGGAGCCACGCGTGCTTCGACAAATAACATGCGCGCCCCCCCAGACTACAGGTACCCCCGCGCGGCCCCACCCCCGGACTACAGGTACCCCCCCCGGACAACAAGTACCCCTTCCCTGGACTACAGGTACCCCCCCCGGACTACTACCCCCCCCCCCGGACTACAGGTACCCACCCCGGACTACAGGTACCCCCAGAACTATTGAGGGACACAGAGTAAGCCGCCGCTACAGCTTCGCGTTCCGCGGTGCCCAGACCAAAGGTCACTCAAGCGAAAGTTCACTCTTACGTGTAGTCGACTCTAGCCTAAGAGAGGCAGGCGGGAGAGGGGAGAGGAGAGCATATGAGAGAGAGGCCCAGCCCGGCGGCCAGCGGCGCTCCTTCGGCGGCCCTCGGCGGCCCGCCCCAGGCGCTCACTCGGCGGCCCTCGGCGTTCGGCCTTCCCTCCGGCGATCTTTCAGCGGCCCTCGGCGTTCCCTCCTCCTCCTCCTCCTCCTCCTCCTCCTCCTCCTCCTCCTCCTCCTCCTGCTCCTCCTCCTGCTCCTCCTCCTGCTGCTCCTCCTCCTCTCTGCTCCTCCTCATCCTCCGCCTCCTCCGCTCCTCCTCCTCCTCTCCTCTCCTCCCTCCCTCCTCCTCCCTCCCTCCTCCTCCTCCTCCTCCTCCTCCTCTCCTCCTCTATGTTTTGCGTTGAGCGGACTCTAGGTGCAAGCCTGAAAAACATAACAAAACGGACTCTAGGTGCGGACACTCGTATGCGGCAGGAAAAAAGAAACACCCGAATGCAGACTCCTCCTCCTCCTCCTCCTCCTCCTCCTCCTCCTGGCGTTCACTCGGCGGCCCTCGGCGCCACCTCGGCCCCCCCTCCTCCTCTTTGCGCTAGGCAAACCTCGACCGCCAGACTGCCGCGTTCCTCCTCCTCCTCCTCCTCCTCCTCCTCCTCCTCCTCCTCCTCCTCCTTCCTCCTTTCCTCCTTTCCTCCTCCTCCTGGCGTTTCCTCGGCGTTCTCTCGGCGCTCCCGCTCGACGGCCCTCGGCGGCCCCGCTCGGCCGCCCCCCAGGGCGGTGGGCACCCGTCCGGGCGGCGCCGCGTTCTTGCCCCTGGGCGCGTCGGGCCCTCCCGCGGGCGCGGGCGCGGCCTGCCCCGCCTTGCGGCCTGTTCTCCTCGCCGCCCGCCCCTCGGGGCCGATCTCCTGCGGCCACACGCGGGGGGGTGACCCTCTGAGGAGAGAGAGAGAGAGAGAGAGAGAGACAAGCAGGAATGCGTCCAAGTTGCCCGACTGCAAACGCTAAGAAAGTGGCCCTCTGAGGAACGCTGCTGTAAGGTCTTGGGAGGGTTCTTCAACAAAAACCTCCCGAGTAAGGTTGTTTGAGAGGACGTTGGACGGTTCTTCTAAGCAAAGCCCTCCTGAATAAAAACAGTGTTTGGAAGGTTTGAGGGAGGTTCTTCCAACAAAACCTCCTGAGTAAGGTTTTTGGAAGGTTTTAGGAAGGCTCTTCCAAACAGAAACATCCTGAGGGAGTCGTTCGAAAGGTTTTAGGAAGGTTATTCGGAAGAAACCCTCCTGAATAAGGTGTTCGGAAGGTTCCCAAAAAACCTGCTGAGGAAGAGGAAGGTGGTTGGAAGGTTGTAGGGAGATTCTTCCAAAGACCCTCTACAGTCATGATTCTCCCATCGTGCTTGAGGACTGCATCCAAAGAATAGTCTCGAGCACCCAAAACAGTATCCGAACAGTGTCGAACGAATATCGCCTCCCAGAGCCCAACACATGCAAACCCTCACGTTTCTTGGTGCGCGAAATGCTTTCTGTCGGTCAAGGCTAAAGTCGGCTGCAACATCCTAACCCTACAGTCAGGAGGCCATTGTTGGTAGCGCAGTGTCAACGACGACAAGGACGACGACGAGGATCACGACGACGACCGTCGGGCCGACTCGGGACGACGACCGACGAACGACGAGGAACGACGACGGCGAACCACGGCGGCGGCCGACTGACAACGACGACGCTCTGGGGGGGTGAATCGGGGTCCGTCTGCGGCTAATCGCAAGGGTGACCCCAGGCAAGATTGGCCTTCGGTACGCAGGCTTGGGCCGGAGGAGGAAGAGGTACCCATACAGCTAGAGAGGGGGAGGGGGAGGAGGAGGAGGGGGAGGGGGAGGGGGGAGGAGGAGGAGGAGGAGGAGGGGGAGGAGGAGGAGGAGGAGGAGGAGGAGGAGGAGGAGAGAGGAGGAGGAGGAGGAGGAGGAGGAGGGGGTGGGTGGAGGAGGAGGAGGAGGATGCCCTTCGTCAGTTTTCCTGTTGTTCGCCCTCCTGGGAGGCCCTCGTCGGCACCGCCGGACTCGCCCCGAGATGCTGTGCGGAGCGCACCGCGGGCGAGCGGGGGCAGGGTCCGGGGAGCGGCGGTGTCGGTGCCCGTGGGCTTCCCCATTACGGGGGGGCCGCGGGCGGGCCAACTCTGAGCGCGCAGGCCGCTGCTGGGGGGGGCGCTAGGCTTAGGTCGGTCAAGGGGCCCAAGGACACACAAATAAATACACACAAATAAAATGATTCCCCATATTTTCCCATATTTTCTGGGTTTCTGTCTTCCCCCCCACTGCCCATATTTTCCCATATTTTCTAGGGAATCGAAGATTAATTGTGTCTGTGTGTTGTTTCTCCTCCTGACAACTCTTAGCGCGCAGGCCGCTGCTGGGGGGGGCGCTAGGCTTAGGTCGGGCATGTCCCCGTACAGGCGGAGCTTGAACGAAACATATTTTTTTCACCCGCCGAGCGTTACGACGGATTTCGTTTTTTTGGAGGGCAACGAGGGCATTGGAGGCGGACCTTGAACGAAATATGCAACACAGTAAGCAAATGCTCAAAAACATGGCCAAGAAATAATCGAAGCATCGTCCCCAGATTGTTTCGGAACTTTGTTGGAATCTTCCTCCTGTAGAGGGACGTGCCCGACTTCACCCTAGGCAACAATGACCTTCCCAGACCTCCTCGCGTCATGCGAAAATCACGACGGGTGGGTGGGTGGGAGGGCGCAACTTTCTGCCCCTGGGGGTCCTCGCTGGGCCTCTGGAGCGTCAAAGAGCGACTCAGGATGAGAAGCCGGTCCTGGGGAAGGGGTCGAGACTCCAATGGGCCGACCTGATGGAAAACTCAGGACGTCAGGGGTCTGGGTTTGGTGCGCAGCTTTCGGGGGGCTGCGGGTGGGCCAAAGCCGAGCCCGCAGGCAGGTGCCCGGGGGGACCCCATGCGAGCCCGCACCAGAGGTCACTCTGGCAAGGGGTCCCTCGGGCGCGAAGCCGATCTAGAGGCCAGGATTTCCAAGAATTCCGAAGAGTTTCCAAGAATTTCCAGTAGTTCCAAGAATTCCTCAGAATTTCCACGAGTTCCCCAAGATTTTTCTGGCGAAGTGTCCCCAGGATTTCCAAGAATTCTCTCACGGCCTCCAGAGCACCCCGCACAAAGCCGAGAGGAGATCCAGGGGCTCCAACATTCAGCGAAGAGCTGGGGGCGCCTTGGGCCAGTGGCAGCTTCAACAGAGACCCTGCTCCTCCTCCTCCTCCTCCTCCTCCTCCTGCTCCTCCTCCTCCTCCTGCTCCTCCTCCTCCTCCTGACTCCTCGGTTGAGTGCGCAAAGTCGCACGTCTCGTCGGTGTACTTGCAGACGCCCTGGCGGACGACGGCGTTCACTCGGCGACGGCGGCGGGCGCGGCGGCGACGGCGAGAACGGGGCGAGGGGAGGACTGAGATGGGGGTGGGCCAGGGGGATGAGGAGGTTAGGGAGGAGGAAGAGGACGACGTGGACGACGAGGAGGAGGAGGAGGAAGAAGAGGAGGAGGAGGAGGAGGAGGAGGAGGAGGGGATGGAGGAGGGGAAGGAGAATGCCAATAAAGGAGACGAGGAAGTGAGTGACGAAGGCCGTGTGCGGGAACGCTATGCCCCGCACTCGCCCCCGGCGCCGCGCCCCGCCGCGCGCGCACCCTTGGGGGGCCGGCCTCCGCGCGCCGCCGCGCCTGCAGGAAGCGGGCGGCGGCACGCGCACCACGAGAGGGCGATCCACCGCGACTGGCCAGGGCTCGTCGCCATGGCCACGGTGGCAGAGGACTGCGAGGTCTCGAAAAGAGCCTCGGGCAGTCATGCGACGTCGTCCCGATGCTCGACCTTTGTGGCTTGTGCTTCAACCGCCCCCTTTCCATGTTCACGCTTTCCCAGGTTCTAACGTTCGTTCATGTGTCCCTGAAGCACAACAGGCCCCACCGCGACAACAACATCATCGAGATCGGCGTGTAGTCCCTGGAGGTCAACAGGAGCGGGCACCTTCAGCATGACCCAGGGGCTCTACAAGACCTGCCCACGTTTTTGTGGAGACTCACAGGCAAGTCGGATGAGACCATGCACGCAAAGAGGAGCGCGGGCGCGCAGAGACGCGACACCACAACGAGTGGGGCTACAGCACCCGACGTTGGATACAGCCTCGATCCGACATTGTGATCATTGATACGACCGCCCTCGCGAGGGCATCCAGGCACGAGCTGCGAAACAAGCAGCCCAAGTACGACAAACACCAACTACGCCACCAAGATCGACACCAGCAACGAAACGATCGAGCAGCCCGAAGGGGGTACCACATGCGTCGTCGTGGAGGTACTGGTGGACGACGGCCGCGCCGCTTACGACGAGCACGACTACAACGCCTACGGGCACGGCGAGTACAACTTCTAGGACGAGAACACCACCTACGCGTTCCTCAGCTTGCCACCAGGGCTGCGAGGGCTGCACGCAGAGCTACGAGGGCAGCACGCGGAGCTGCCAGGACAACCTGCTGCGCGACGTGGGCCACCGGCAGTGCGGCGCGGGCAAGAGGCAGAGCCCCAGGAGCCGCCCTCTGTGCCACGAGGGCCCCCAGCCATGCCTCGAGAACCACGAGCTACGATCCGAGGGCCACCAGCAGAGCCTCGAGCATCACCAGCCGAGCGTCGAAGGCCACCAGCTATGGCACCAGCGCCACCTGCCGAGCTACCTGCGCGAGACCAGCACGATCTCCTGCGCGGCGCTGGCACCCAGAACGTGGAACACCACGACTTGACAGCCGAAGACTCCGACGCTGACCCCGTGGACTCCGTCGTGGACGCACTCCTCGACTGCCCCTTGGGCCAGGTGCACGAGCACGAGGAGGGCGTCCAAGCTCCGCGGCGAGGACCAGCAGAGCTCCGACGACCAGTAGAACGACGAGCACCTCCAAAAGAACCTCGAGATTCACCAGCCGAGCTACGAGGGCACGGGAGCTTCGAGAGCCAAAGGCAACACTGCGAGACCCATCAGCTCAGCTGCAAGAGCCGCAGGCAGAGTTGCAAAGACCACCAGGCGATCTAGCGGAGCCACCAGTTCGGCCACCAAGGCCACGAGCAGAGCTTCGGGAGTCGCCGTCAGAGCCACGAGGCCCACCTGCAAAGCTGCGAGGGTCACAACCTCAGCCTCCAGAGCCACGAGCAGACATGCCAGATCTGCTGGCAGGAATGCTCCCAGTCCTTCGAGCACCACGAGCCCCACTACGAGGACCACAGGCACAGCTACGAGAGCCACCTCCGGAACTACGAGGATCGCAAGCTCAACTACGAGGGCCACAAGCAGTACTACGAGGACCACCAGCTGAACCACGAGGGCCGCAAGCTCGGATACGAGGGCCACAGGCAGGGCAAGGAGGACCATCAGCTGCACCACGAAGGCCACCAGCCGAGCTACGAGAATTACAAAGCAGAGCTACGAAGACCACCAGCTCAGCTACCGGAGGCACCATATTTGCTGCTTGCCGGGCCGCTGAACGGCGGACAGGTCGAGGAAAGCGTCTATAAGGACGACGAGTACGATGAGGAGGATGAGGAGAGCTACGTGGAGTGCGAGAAACGAACAGGAGGAACACGCCGACCAGAACGTCGACATCTAGAAGGCATAGTACTGGCACTTGGCTAGCGACGACACTGGGGGGCCCCTTGAAGCCGACCCCACATCGTGCTACAAGGAACACCGAGGGGAAAACATAAGCACAAAGGGGAAA